ATCGTCACCCTGATGGATCGGAACTGATGGGTCGGAAGATCTACGATATCACGTGGCCCGAACTTTTCAGGGTCGCCCTGGTGGAGTCTATTATTTTTTGTTCGAATCAGATCATTGGAGGCTAAGATATCACGTTCTAAATTGGCTGCTGATTAATTTTTGTTAATGTCAAAAAAAATGAAGTTGCTACTTTAAGACGCAATATTTTGACGTCCAGTGATCCGATTTGAACAAAATTACTACTATTCGATTCGTCTAGTCGAGACGAATCGAATAGTAGTATTTTTGTTCAAATCGGATCACTGGACGTCAAGAATTAGATTATTGAATATTGAGATGTGTGTTATGAAATAACTGATTATGTTTGTGACATGAAAGTTTATGAGCATACATTATCCGATATAGAAGCTCTACCAACCTATAAAAAGTATCAATGACCAGCATTTGTAATGTTCTTTGTGCTCGGAAAAATTTGGTGCATTACACATGATCTACGGAAAATTAAAGGGGGTCGGATACTTTTAGCCACGACTGTAATAGCAAACTATATGAATATTTGGCAGGTCTGAAATATGTGCCAGTTATCTAAATGTTGATTATAGAGTTAGGGTTAAGATCAGGGTTAGGGGTTGGCGGGAGAGTAAGATTATATGAAAAATTGCTTCCCCGACATTTTTATTATTAGTACTCCAAGTTAGATCCGAACATCATTCTCTGTATTTTTCGCTTTTCATTTCTTTTTGTGTTAGATTTGTTTTGCCGGACTGATCAAACATTTGTAATTTGTTCAGAGAAAATTTAAAACTTAGCTACGTAACTTGTTTTTAGAAGAATACTAGGGTTGTAATTGTCGGGATTTTGTAATTGTCGGGATTTTGGTGTTTTGGTATTTTGGTATTTTGTCAGTCGGGCTTATGTACTGTCAGGATTACGAATATCGGGATTTCGAACCAAACCCAATCGAATTCATGATGGTCAAATCAATTAACGTCAATAAAAATAAAATCATAACTCTTGGAATAAAATTTTTATATTATTTACTTTATAAAGCGTATTTGAACGGCAGAAATAAAAATTAGTTTTTGCAATAATTCGAGATGGGTAATAAAAAAGAATTTGCATTAAGTTTTTTATTAAGGTGATTGCAAATAAGATGTTTCTCTTCTAAAGACATTATATATAAATGAAATTTAAATCTGAATTATGAAATATACTCATATTGCAACAAATAAATAGCAAGGCACGACCTTTAGGTATTGAAAATTTTGATGAAATACATTTGAAGTCCAAAATCCAGTTTAATTGAAACAACGATCTTTAGCTTTTATATGTACGTATTAGGTCATTAGTAAAATAAAAAGTAACAGCACAGTTGTAAATCTTATTTTCATAAGCTGTTGCGTTAAATAGTAACTTTTTGTACTTTTAAGAAAGATAGATAATATAGATACTATTTGTTTTCGCATCATCGTGTTTCTCTCAGGTTTCAAACACTCAGTTTTATGTCAAGTCGCATTGAAGAATTTTATGATTTATATGTACAGTAAAAAAAAGGGTGTATGATAGATATCTGTTTGGAAACTTCCCATCAAAATGTTTTTGCTATTAGGCATAGTCATTGGAAGCTTCCAATGACATTTTATATATGAATTGGAAGAGCTATTGGAATTATTGGAAGCTTCCAAGATTATCACTGTATTAAACAAACAAATACACAATCTAAGAAAAATAAACTATTGGTTTTTTATAACAGCTGTTAAAATTAGAGGCCGCTGACCCGGATTTTTATTTATTAAATAGTGTTCGAAGCCACCCTAAACTCAGAAGCCAGCTGGGCCAAGCTATTGACGAGTCTCAAGCTGACTTGACCCATTGGTGTGTCTCGAGCCAATTCGGCCATCCATTGAAAGCTTCAAGATGATTAGCTGTCAAATTCACAAAGCCGACTGGCTAGTCAGCCAACCGCTAAATGGCGCCGATCATTATTACTGTACGTATACGTAGCGGTAGTGTCCTATTTCACAATCTTACCGTTGCCCACTATATACATGTAAGTACTGATCCCTTAATTTGATACATGCATTTGAAATTGCATTTACGTATAAACCCACCTAAAAGTAAAAATTTGTCTTTTATATTTAGCTCAAAAATCGCAAGCAATATATTAAGTCTATTAATTCTACTAGCTTTGGTACAACTAGAGATCATATTCGAATATTCGAATATTCGGATTGCTGATATATTCGAATGTATTCGAATATAATACAAATTCAAATACACTGAAAATTCGAATGTTCGAATACTATTCGAATATAATTCGGATGTAATTCGGTTTAATTGAATTGGTTTTATATAAAATCAGTGCCTCACTACATTGCACACATTGGTCAAATCGAAAATTTGTCCAATCACATACCAAAATCACGTGATTACGTAAAAAATGTCAAAAATTACTAATAACGCAATTGTATACTAAGATTATTATTAGCTTGAGTCATTTAAGTAAAAATACTCTCTAGACAATTTTACTTTAGAAACTACTTTGTTCGATATAGAAAGCTATTTTTTTTTCGGGTATGCAAAGTGCATTATTCAAACACTTAGACGATTGTATTTTATTTTATATATTTACCAAACAACCAAATATTACTATATATAACTATACCTATCTTCTAAAAATTAACAAACTAGATAATTTTCAATTGTCTGCAATAATCTAATCAATATTTAATAATGATATTTCAAATAAAATTATTTACCTGATGTGTTTCATATGGCGGAAAAATATCAAAATGTTGTATATTTCTTTTTAAAAAAGCATTTTGTTTACCAAATTTGGTTGAAGACGAGTTCTCTTGGAAGTAATATGATTGCCAGCATCAGAAAAAAGCTGTTCACTAGGTACTGAAGTCGCAGGGAGTCCCAGATATTTGCGTGCCAATTGTGACAAATATGGAAAATTTTGTCGTCGATCTTTTCACCAAATCAAAGGATCTTCATGTTGTTGTGCATCAGAAAAATTCAAATATTGAGTTATACATGTATATCTCATCTTCATTTTCATTTCTAGATTCATCAGTCCAAAGATCCGAAAAAAGTGAATTAGAATTTTGTTGTCTTGAATCGGTATGCTGGGCAGATAGTGTAGAATCTACAATAAATCTTGAATGAAATTCTTGCCAGGAATAAATCATAAACTTTTTAATCGTGGATCCAAGATTGTAACCAACATTGCTTCACAGCTAGGTATTTGCCATGATTTATTCATAGAAATGTAAATTGCAGCCTTTACGTTAGGCAATATTTCATTGATATTGGTAGGTTGTAAGGTTCTTGTTTGGTTGACATCATTTGGATTACTTGTTTGGTTGGATTCTCTTTGATTTCGATAATTATGTTGATTATGATTTTGGCTACGACCACGGCTGTGACCATGATTACGACCATATCTACGATCACGACTATGACTACGAGTAAGAATATGACCAAGATTGTAACTTTGAATGCTGGAAAAATTATCAGAATCTTCATCTGTTGTTGCATTATTATCTTCATTATTGTTGGCCGAAATTTGTCTTGTTGAGGTCAAAGTATCTTCAACATTTACCAAATCTTCATCAGATATATGATTCGGAGCCTCTTCTTCGATTTGATCATAAAGTAAATCGAGATATGTATCCATTGATTCGTTTTCTTTAGGAGCAAATTGTTGTGTTAAGATATACATATATGGATAGACCAAATTAATAATCAGATATTTAGCACCAGACATATGATGAGTTATTTCTTCAAATGGTTCAAGCAATTCAACCATTTTCTTAATAAAGCTTTATAAACAATTGAATAAAGAAATGTTTAATTAATAATAAATATAAATATTAAATATTAATATTATAATTTTATCATATGTTAACATTAAATTTTCAATTCGTTGACCTTCATTGCGAATAGCTTGGAGACGTGAAGTTCTAAATTTTACTTCAAGATATCTGATTGCATCTTCTAATTTCAATAACCGTTTCCATGCCAAGTACGTATTATTCCATCTAGTTCGAACATCCAATAATATTTCAAGAGAACTTTGTTCTTCATTCATGTAAATTATTTCTTGATCATCTGGTTCATTTGTAGCTATCTCAAGTTGTGCTTCATGAAGTTCTTGAGCGCGTTTAGGAGAGTGAAAAAATAATTGCAGATTTTTGATTCGTTGATGAATTCCTTGACATTGTTTCAATCCTTCTTGTATGGAAAGTTGAGGAGTATGAGCGGCACATGGAATTCTTTTGACATAAGTGTGACCAAGCAAACGAACTGCTTTGGACCATTGTCCGTTGCAATTGTAAATATTTTGTCACCAAGATTCCAACGAGTTATAATTTTATCAAGTTCTGAACATATAACCTCACCAGTATGAGGATAAGGAAGATGGTGGCAAGAAAGTAAAACTTCATGGAATTCGTAATTGGAATCAAGCCATGTTGCGGTTATTCCAAGGTAGCCAAGCTTGCTTTTCGCAGTCCAAAGATCTGTTGTCAAATTGATCGTAGTGGCGCTGCTGTTAATTAACCCTTGCAATTGGTCTTTACTCCAGATATAGGTGTCATCAATCAATTGTTTTGCAGTATTGATACTTAGAATAGCAAAGCCTGGTATGCACTCATGGATAAATTTGCGAAATGATGGACTTTGAAGAAGAATAACACACATGATAAAGGTAACTAGCAAACGTGAAAGCTTATTCTGGCGAATTTTGCTGGGTCCAGGTGTGCCAGGCTTAAAAATATTCCTGATTAATTTTTAAAAATTATCATATCGAATTATACAGTGTATAAAAGGCATTTTTAGGATGAGAGTAGATTTTATTCGATATTAAATTTTTACATATTTGATTCTTGTTTTTGAGAAACTTTTTAACATAAATGCTTCTTCTTGTTTAATAGTTTAGATAAAAGCAATGTTGTTGTATAATTTGAAAGTAATGCAGTGATTTGTGAAAAGTCTTTAACAAACTTTTGGTAGTATCCTGCTAATCCAAGAAATGCTCAAAGTTCTTTGACTATGCATGGTTGAGGAAAGTTCAAGCTTTTTTGTACAGTTGATGGATCAGGAAATATACAATCTTTGTTGACTAATTCTTTTTGAATAAAGTTATATTTAGCTTTGTTAAGTTTTAATCCAGCTTTTCTTATTCATTGAAATATGAGATTAAGATATTGTAAAGATTCTTCAAAGATATATAAGAATATATTAATATTATTAATATAAATTATTGCAAATTTCCAATTATAATCTTCAAGCATATTATATATTGTTGTGATATGAATTTCAGCATATCACATGACTTTTCATAGTTAATTTTCATTAAATAATTGATTTATAAATCATATCCATATTTATTTCATATTATTTTTATAACATTTCATTCTATTTCTATTTTATTTCATACTAGTATCATTTTATTTCATACTAATTCATATTATTTTCATACTATTTCATTCTATTTTCATACTATTTCATTCTATATTTATATTATTTCATTCTATTTCATTCTATTTTTATATTACCTCATTCTATATTATTTATAATTCGTACTAATCATATTTAATTCATATTATTATTATTAGTATGAAAAGCATATGTTAATCAATCTACATAACCAAATTTGATTAATATTAATGGTAAAATTTATGTAACATTAGAGTGAGCAATGTATAACCATCAAGCAAGTAAGCGATGCGCAACCATCGAGCAAGCACTTTTTGTAATCTTAATATCAATCAAAAATAGTTTTAATATTTGAAGGTCAAATAACAATAATTTATATAAATATAACATGTATCTTAGCTTAGAAAAATAATCTTCTTGCATTTTTTATTTAATCTTTTTATAGATTATAATCTTTTTGATTAGAATCTTTTTACCTTTTTAATTTTCTTTGACAAAATCTTCTTAGAAGTGAGTCATATTATAAGTTTTGAGTTGGAGATTTTTAGTTAAGTATTAATTATTCTTTTACTTTCTTATTTGTATTCTTTATTATTTAAAAGACCTCTCATCTGTAACAAGCGACATCATCTATAATAACATAATTAACTTCTAGTCACTATCCTACAAAGTTGATTAATAATATTATTTAGATATATAATAAAAAAAGAAGATAATTTTAATAAAAGTTAATCAATAAAAAAAGATTACTTAACAATTAAACTATTTAAATTAAAAGAAAATTTTTGAACTCATTCTAGCAGTTCAACAAAATGAACATGTCATTATTTACCTTTATTAAATTAGTTTCTCCCAACTTTAATTATTTTAAATACATAAAAGTGTTTAATAACTCTCTCATTTAATTGAGACACATGAAGAACACGTGATTTATACTTGAAAGTTAATAAACTAACAGAAATGATAACAAATTTTTGGTGCTCCCTTTGTGAAAAAGAAATCTTCAACAGCATCAAACATAATCAATCAGTAAACAAATTCTTTGTGGATGAACCATCCAAAACAATAAATCAAACTGGATCCAACAAAATTCACCAGTGTTGAAATAAATTAATTATTTGAAGAACTAAGAGATGAAGTTAATTTAAAAAAAACTTTAATCAGAGAACAACTCAAGGAAATAAAACAATAAATAACTGAAATAGTTGATGAAATTTACCAAGAAAATACAACCAATAAATCAGTTAATCAACTTAGCGAATTATTAAAACAACATTCTTACCAAAGTGAACAAGAAATACAAGTATATTTGTATAATCTACAACAAGATATCACAAACTTTTTAATACAAAGAAGAGCTTACTGAAGACAACAAAAACTTCAAAAACAACTAGCTAAACTCCAGAATTCAGAAAATCAAATTATAATCCAAAGTGATCTATCCGTACAAATTATTGAAGAAGATCAAATTAAAGAAGAATAACTTCAACAACAAATCCCAATTCAAACTCCAAATCCAGAAAATAATTTATTATCAATAATGAATAATCATTAATTTAACCTCTTGATGATTAATTTAGGTAATTTAACTGATGCAATCAATATTCAAGCAGCTGCACCAGCATCTTCAAGAGAATTATCATTTACAAAAATAGTTGATTTTTATGGTGATAGTCAAGATCTGATTGGATGACTACAAGATTTTGAAAACGCATGTTAAGCAAATAATATAACTGATGCAACAATTGTTGAAGCCTATTTAAAAGAATCTGCTAGTACCTGGTTAACAAATAAGCACATGACAATAACAAATTTGCCTGATCAATGGAATTCAAACACTCCTGATAATACAGCTGATGAATGAATATCATTTACACATCAATTCAAATTACAATTTGGAACAGTTGAGAAAATATATAAGTGGCAACAACAACTCAATCAAAGAAAACAATTACCCACTGAAAGTGTAGAATAATATTTATCTGCTATAAGAGAATTGTTACACTGAATTGATCCAACAAATACTTATCCAGCTTACTTACAAGTAATATTATTTTTGGAAGATCTAAAATCAAATTCTTTATCAATTTATTCAGACCAGTAACTTTAAATGATGCTATTCAAACTGCACAACTTTATGACTCTAGTTATAGACAAGTTAATCAATTCAATAGTCAAACAACAATCACACCAAATCTATTCAATATACTAGTTATACCAAATCAAATAATACAAAATCCATTGGCAAAACAAATAAAAGAATTAACTACAAAACTTAATCAGTTAACAACAAAGAATAATAATAATAATCAAAATAATTGACAAAACAGTAATCAAAACTTATCTAATAACTAATCAACCAGAATTTCATGTATCTATTGTGGAAGAAATAATCATTTATCAGTCGATTGTTATATCAAAAATGAAAGAAATCACAACTATAATAATAATAATAATTATAATAATAATAATAAAACATTTACTTGTTATAAATGTGGAAAAATGGAACATACTGCAAATAAATATCTTAGTAGAAATAATAATCAATATAATAATAATAACAACAATAATAATAATGACAATAATAATTATTGATCCAATAACAAAAAACAAAACAACTTTTTGAATACTGAAGAGTATTTAAATGACTAAATGCACTTCTAGAAGGTGAAGCTACATCAACAATTAAAAAATCTTCAATCGACAAAAAGAAATTAAAACAAATGATACTTAATAATGAATAAGAAAATAATAAAATACCAGTAGATGCTATACATTGCCTTGGAAAAATTGGAAATCAAAAAATTATAATTATTATCAATAGTAAAGCAGTGAGCAATATTATTAACAACTCATTATTGAAGAAGATCAATTGGAAAATACAAAGATCTAGCAATATCAATTTAGTTGGTATTAATGGAATAAAAGAAAGATCACTTGGAGAAGTTCTAAACTTACCAATTACACTTGGTGAAAAGAACTTAAAAATCAACGCTCTAGTTACTGAAAAAGGTGACTATGATTTATTACTCGGAAATTATTGGACACATAAAAACCAAGCAATAGTAGATTGGAAAACAAGAACTTTAATATTCAAATTCAATAATGAAAAAGTTCAAGTTCCAGTATCCTGTCTAAACAAAAGAGAACAATCAATTGAAAATAATTTTATTACAACAAAAGATGGAATCCAAATCAAAGTATTTACTAATAATGGAAAAGGAAAAATACCTGAAAGAGCAC